GGTTATCTGTAGATAAGAGCAATCATGTTCTATAGCCAAACCACCTTAAAATGTAGCAAGCCCCTGGGGCAGCTTCATGGGGGGGGTTGAAGTCAAATCGCACAAGACTGTGACTCACCTCATTGCTGGGTTATTATGTTATCTGCTTGTGATATTATCATTGACTATGTAATACCATGGTAGCTGTATGACATGCATACCTTATGAAAGATCTGTAAGCCCCTTTGTATATACCCACTGGACAATACATTCACTCTCAGTTCTGACAGGGGACGAGGAGCCCCTGCGCCCTGCTGTCTTATTTTCCACAATAGCAAAGTCACTCCTGAGGACCTGTTCAAGTTTTGGGGACCCCCTCAGCCCAACATACTAGTATGGATAAGAAGATGTGTTGCAGACAAAAGAACTGTACTCCTAACATTTTACAACTTGTTAGCTTCCTAATAACCTCCACAATTGTGAAAATTGAGAGTTCTACATGGTCACTGCAATGCATTGTTGAATGCAACAGAGTAGTGTATACTAGAAGGGATGGTTGATGTCAAAATAGGATAAAGAGGAGGGGAGTGTATCTGACTCCTGCCCATAGCAATTCATCTTTGGGTGGTGTTAAGACTCCTTTGTGTAAACAGAGGTGGTCATATTTGACCCCAGTGCCATTTTCTTGATTTGTCTCTCCTACACTCTCCTTAAAGCCAATAGAAACCAATCAGATTGATAACAGATAAACTCTTAGTCATCTCTCTCCTGGAAATCATTAACAAAACCTCTTTCCAGGTAGCTGGGCTATATGATATTGTCTCATTAAAAATAAACAAATAAATACAATTACGTATTACCGAAGACCAGAAGAGAAAATAGCATGGCCAGATAATATTTGTTTGAAACTAAGACTATGAACAGCTTCTGTATGCAGATTATTATTGTTTTGGTTGTTTATTATGGGCTGTTCTCTTTCTTTTTTAATCATTTAGGTTTTTTAATGTACCTTAATCAATCAAGTAGGCTTAGGCAAACCACTTACCATAGTTTTAGTAAGACAGGAAAATAATTTGGTCCTAAGACTTTACTGGTTTTTTCCTCAAATAAGTTATAGCTGCTTTTGTGGATATTTGATAAAAATATTTTATAAAACTAAGTATATTAAGCTTGTCATTCATTATGTACTCAGAACTAAAAGCTACCTTCTGAGACTAGATGGCAATAGTATAAAGCAATACACTTATTATAATTCAAAGGAACTTAAAGAAATAAATTCTTTGATTAACAAATCAGCATTATTCATTTTCCGCCTTCAAAGATGGTAGCTCTGAAGAAATTAATTTCTTATTTATTACTGTTATATTCAAATGCCTTCCAGATTAAAATCTATTCACTTAAAAAAATTCAAGAACAAAAAGGCAAATAAAGATTGGCGTAGAGCCAGATTTAACTTATTACGTATGTATTTCTAAGTAGAGACTACATTGACAAGCTTACTCTCTGACCAACAAAATCAGTAAAGAAAAAGCATACCAATATCCTCCTTGGGTCAATCCTTGAAGAAGTCAATGCCAGAGCATAGTGCAGCATTTTACATATTTTCATAAATATTTACATATTTCACATATTTAGTAAATGATTGCTAAGTAAATGAATGGAACTCTTAATAACTACAATGACTATAGATGAAATTAAGAATGGTCCCACCAGTTGTGTGAGTGGCGATACTGCGAGGGTGGAGGGAGGGTGGGTTGGAAAGGGGGAACCGGTTACAAGGAACTATATGTGACCTCCTCCCTAGGGGGCAGACAACAGAAAATTGGGTGAAGGGATACGTCGGACAGGGCAAGATATGACAAAATAATAATTTATAAATTATCAAGGGTTCATGAGGGAGGGGGCAGTGGGGAGCGAGGGGGAAAAATGAGGAGCTAATGCCAGGGGCTTGGGTGGAGAGTAGATGTTTTGAAAATGATGAGGGCAATGAATGTACAAATGTGCTTTACACAATTGATGTATGTATGGACTGTGGTAAGAGTTGCATGAGGCCCTACTAATATTATAAAAAAAAAAAAAGAATGGTCCCATAGGGATGGACAACAGAAAAGTGGGTGAAGGGAGACATCAGATAGTATAAGATATGACACAATAATAATCTATGAATTATGAAGGGTTCATGAGGGAGGGGGTGTGGAGAGGGAGGGAGAAAATGAGGCGCTGATATTAAGGGCTCAAGTAAAAAGCAAATGTTTTGAGAATGATGATGGCAACAAATTTACAAATGTGCTTAACACAATGGATGGATGTATGGATTGGGATAAGAATTGTACAACCCCCCAATAAAATGATTTTGTTTTAAATGGCCCCATAGTTAAAATATCAGTCTTGTAAAATGAACAAATTAAAAATTTAACAACAAAAAGTTTCAAAACCTCTTTAAGGGTAGATTAAGTATGATCTCTTAGTTTTTCTTAAATAGTATTTTGAAGTACCCTAAGGCTCATTTGCTAACCTGCTGACTTTTGATTCTGTATCTTTCCATTGCTTAAGCTTGCTACTTTGCATAAGTTTTCCTGCCCAGAGCCACCAGATGCAAACTTTTCCCAGGCTGCTGCTGTCCAAGCCCATAACTAATACCAATACCAGTGGCAAGTTCCCTGGCTGTTCATCCCCGAGTCAGCATGTGTAGTTGTGATTGGACAAGAAAAGTCACCCCCCACATTCATGGTTTGTGGCTTTATAAACCGGAGTTTTAGTAGTGCTGGGACCGAGAGACATTGAGCAAGCTGACTCCAATCAAGCTTCTCATTTGACCAGTTCGGTGCGGTCCTGATTGACTTGGAAACTGGGTACAACAATTTAAGAATAAGTGAGGACTAATTTATAAGTACTCTCTAGATTTTGCATAAGTCATCTAAAAAAAAGCCACCAACACTCACCTCCCACTTTTCAGAAGCATTATTTCCACGTTCACCAGTTGAAACGAGATAGAGTCTTCCAGTTCCATCGGATAAGGTAGCCCAGGTGGAAGACGTGAAATGGAGAGATGCACAAAGGCGATTGTCATACACAGTCAAATCTGAAGGGAGTCGGAACACCTCCCGTGGTTTTCCTAAAGCAGTGTCCTAAAAAGAAGCCAAACATTTTAACTCATACACTCAAAACAATTATGTTCAGTGTTCTGGTTTGAAATTATTGGTTGTCCACAAATTCTTTAATCCTGTTTTCAAGAGGTGGGGGCTTATTTAGCCCCCTCTTCCTTTCAGTTCTGATTCACTTCTAACAAAACTAGGCAGAAACAACTGATATCTAAGACGAGACCATTAAAAAACACTATATCTTCCACCTTGCTTTCTTTCTTGGATCACACGCTCTGGAGGTGGGGTAGTTATATAATCTGCTGTCAATTTGAGAGGATTGAGAGTAAAGGGGTGGAGTTTAGCCTGTCAATCAGGTCCCAGCTTGAAGACCTCATTTGGAGACACTAAGAGGATAAATAGTTCGCTGGAGGCAGGACACAGGCTCAGTCCCTGCAAGACAATTCTTGTTGACAAGCCACAAGGAGACAGGCTGATGGCAGCCAGAGCCTCAGAGCTGAAAAAGCCACGTGGAGACCCCCCCACCAGCGCTGAGATGCTTACACCACCACTGGATTCACAAGACTTTCTACCCACTGGCCAGTAATCTTCCTAAATTCAGCTTCACTGCATGTCTTTGATGAGTCTGAAGAGGACTTTATAGATTGGTATCAGACATATGGGCTAATATCGGACATATGGACTTGATCTGGACTGGGCTGGGATGTTTACTTATGTACAATAATTACTCCTTATATACAGCTCTTTCGTATACACATACCATGTATGCCAAAAGGGATTTGTGGAGTGACCCATTGAAGGGAAAACTGCCATCTCTTGACAATAACTACCATGCTGAGCATGAATCATTTTGAAAGTGTATCCTTCAGTCCAAGTCAAAAATTCAGACAGCTGCAGGCCTGCCTGACTTTGGATACAAGATCAAGAGCAGCCTTGACTAAGAACCACCAGCTAAGCCACTCCCAGATTTCTGGCCCACAGAAACCGAGTGAGATAATGTTAGTTGGTTAGTCAAGTCACTAAAGGTTAAAGGTTTAGGGCAGCGGTTCTCAACCTGTGGGTCACGACCCCTTTAGGGTTGGAATGACCCTTTCACAGGGGTTGCCCGATTCATAACAGTAGCAAAATTACAGTGATGAAGTAGCAACAAAAATAATTTTATGGTTGGGGGGGTCACCACAACATCGGGAATTGTATTAAAGGGTCGTGGCATTAGGAAGGTTGAGAACCACTGGTTTAGGGCAATTTTCACCACAGAAATAGCTAACGCATCTAGCACTCTAGTTTTCCTTCTCGTGTTATACAGACATCTGCCACCTGGTGTTTTTGATAAGAAATCTTTGTCTGTGTCTGTATAACTTATTTATACAGTGAGTTCCTTCATTTCAAATGCTTTAGATGAAAATATATAAAATACATAAAATTCAGTAAATTTCTTTTCATACACTAAAGTATAATAAGATTAACTTTTTTTTTTAAATGCAGACATTACTTTGCAGTTTGTTTCAGAATATCCTACTGGAAACTCATCATCCTTGGCCTATGCATTCTACCCCACTCCCGCACTGCCTGTTGTTGCTGGGTGCTGTCCCTACAGCGCAGAGCAGACCTGTCCCACAGGTTCCCGAGGTGGGATGTCCATGAGCAGAGCGCCAGGACTGTGCTCCTGAAGAGCAGCTGACGGCCGCACATGGCCAACTCTCTGTCGGGGAAACTGCTTAACCACGGAGCAGCCCGGGCTCCTGGAGCTGCTTAGACAGGTATCTGTGGGCGCTAATAAAATTAAAGTATATACACTATCCATTCTAGCCATACATTCTTATGACCCATTAATGATTCTAAACTACCATTCTAATTTTGCTTAAACAGCACCTTCCCTTTTTATACTCATATTTTAAAATTTTGCATTGATACTAAATTAATAATGAAAATATAACAGGCACAGCTAGCATAAGGATTTTTTTAATGGACCAAACCTTGGAGTCATGCAAAATACTTATCAGCAGCCTACTGAGTAGCTTACTGGCAAGGAACACTAAGCCGATGGTGATCTCTGGTCAGCATCTTTTGCAGAGGGAAACCCAGTTACTTGATTTCCAGTTAATCCAGTTACTCAATTAAGTAGAAATCCGCTAAAAAAAAAAGATTTACTGAACTGATGTCTATGTGGACATTAGGAACACAATCTAGAATTTTCAGTTAATGAGGAAAAATGAACTAGTCAATAAATAATATTAGATGAACTATGTTCTGAGAAATTAATGTACCTTTTCCCTCACACTCACAGAACACAAAAAATATTCCATAACAAGTAGATTAATCATCCAAATGCTTTAAGATAAATATATGACTTTCATTAAAAATTAACTATTTTATAATTTCATGGTAGGGAAGATGTTCCTATGTAAAGTTAAAAGACATATAGGAACCTCCCCACCAAAAAAAACAAAACAACAACTCACTGCAATGGAGTCAATTCCAACTCATAGTGACCCTGTAAGACTGGTCAGAACTGCCCCCATGGATTCTGAGACCCTACGTCTTTATGGGTGTAGACAGGCTCATCTTTTCCTGTTGAGTGGCTGGTGAATTAGAATTGCTGGCCTGAGGTTAGCAGCCAAATGTGTAATCCACAATGCCACCGGGGTAACGTAACACACTATAGCCAGACCAAAATGCTCCTTTGAAGCAGGAATGGTGAGACTTTGTCTCGTGCATTTTAGACATGTTATCAAGAAAGACCAGTCCCTGGACCGGCTATCATGCTTGGTAAAGGAAAGCGGCAATGGAAAGGAGGCGGACTCAACAAGACGGATGGCAAAAATGGCCTCAAGCATCACAACTATAGTCAGGATGGGGCAGGACCAGGCAGCGTTTCTTCTGTTCTACATAAGGCACTATGGGTATGAACTTACTTGATGACATGTGACAATAATATCCAAAACAAATAAAGAACCCTTAAAAATCAGCAATAAATAGATGGAAATAAAAAAAGGAATGTGAACAGGAAACCCATGGTTAAACAACAACAAGAACTAGCCAAAATATTCGAATTCACTAAAATGGGAAAATATGAATTAAAATAAGTAAATCTGCTGTAAAAGACCTCTTCAACTGGGGTCTTAAAGGCTTGAAGGTAATCAAGCGGCCATCAAGCTCAGAAGCAACAAAGCCCACATGGAAGAAGCAAACCAGCCTATGCAACCACGAGGTGTCGAAGGGATCAGGTGTAAGGCATCATCAGAACAAAAAATCTTACCATAGTGAATGATGGGGGGTGTGCGGAGTGGAGACCCAAAGCCCATTAGTAGGCCACTGGAGATCCCCTTGCAGAGGGGTCTCGGGGAGGAGATGAGCCAGTCAGGGTGCGATGTAACAATGATGAGAAATACAACCCCGCTCCCACTACCATGACTCGAATTCTATCTTGCAAGACTGGCTAGACCAGAGGAGGTACACTGGTACAGATAGGAACTTAAAATACAGGGAATCCAGGACGGATGAGCCCTATAGGACCAGTGGTGTGAGTGGCAAAACAGGGAGGGTAAAGGGAGAATGGGTAGGAAAGAGGGAACTGATTACATGGAACTGTGTGTGACCTCCTCCCTGGGGGACAGACAACCGAAGAGTGGATGAAGGGAGACGTCGGACAGGGCAAGATATGACAAAATACCCATTTATAAACTATCAAGGGCTCATGCGGGAGGGGGGAGCGGGGAGGGAGGGGAAAAAATGAGGACCTAATGTCGGGGGTTTAAATGGAGAGAAAATGTTTTGAGAAACGATGTACAGATGCGCTTTACACAATTGATGTGTGTATGGATTGGGATAACAGTTGTATGAGCCCCTAATAAAATGTTAAAAAAAAAAAAAAAAAGACCTCTTCAAAGTACCAGGAGCAAAGATGCCACTTTGAAGACTGTTAGGTGTGCTTGATTCAAGCCATGGTACTTTCACCTGCATGTGAAAGCTGGACGGTGAATACAGAGACGAGAGAAGAACTGATGCACTCCCATTATGATGCTGAAGAGAATGTTGTAAGTACTGTGTGTGGACTGCCAGATATGTCTGGGAAAAGGGCTAGTCCTGGGAAAAGCTGCCTAGTCCTAAGCCATCCCACAATCAGTTGTGGACTGATCATTGGGCTGCACCGGGTTTTTAATGACTGCGTTTCCAGAGTATATCATCAGGCCTTTTTTCTGAGTTCGTCTTAGTCTGGAATCTCTGCTGACACCCGTTCAATATCATAGCAACATGTGAACTTCCGCCAACAGACAGGTGATGGCTGTGTATGAGGCTGGGAGTTGAACTCAGGGCTCTCCCCTATGGAAGGAAACAATTCTACCATTAACCACTACCACCCATACTCATGTCTGGGAGAAAAAAAAATGACTACCATTAAGTCGGTTTGACTCATAACAACCCTCCAGTACCCACCAGAATTACCCGTGTTGGTTTCCAAGATGAACTCTTTACCTGAGTAGAAAGCCTCATCTTTCTCCCAGGAGCAGCCGGTAGTTTCAAACTGATGACCCTGCAGTTAGCAGTGCAACGTGTCACCACTATCCCATCAGAGTACCTTGTACTCCTCATCTAGTATACCATTATGAGGGAACAATTCAAACGGACACTTGTTAAATCACTGTTCTTCATTCCACACTCAACTTTAAAGGTCGCTTTAAACCTCATATGTCACTCATGGACCATGAGTGTGTTTATATTAAACACAAAGTTCTACATGACAGAGATTGTTAGAAGTCTGACTATGAGATAAATGGACATAATATCCAATAGAGTACAATATTAAATTGCATATATCTGAAGCTACAATTACATGAGAATACACAGGAAAACACACAATATCTTACTTCAGTTAAATGATATTTAAGAGAAAGCAATCTAAAAGTTCCTGATTGTTGAAATCTAATTCTCAAAGGGTAAATTTTAACTGGACTGATTGTAGGCAATAAAATACAAGTTCAAAAAGTATGTGGAAAAATGAAATTTTGCCCAGAACTTTTGGAGGCTGCCTTATATCTTCTTCTATAAGTCCTAAATTAGAACATCAGATTGCTTCTACATAAACTCCTATGGCAAGTTTCTAAGTGTCATAATACTGCCTCATATTACCAGCATTTATAATATCCAGCCTCACCCAATCATTTCTCCTTCCTCACAAAAAAAGCCAAGGTAAGTATGTTCACAGTTTTGAATCCCATCCTAAACTAACATTTCAAAGCTGATCTGAAGAGAATTAAAAATTCATTGAGGGTTGGAACAGTTGCTTAATGACGAGTGTCCAAGTACTGTATTAAATAATGTACTTTGACTTTTTACTATCTCAATTAATTGTCAACAAATTCTATGAAGCTGAAATATTACCACTACTTTAACAAGAGAGATTTAAAAATATAATTTGCCTGAAATGCCACTGCCAGGATTTAAATCCCAGTCAACTTGACTCCAAGTTAATGTTCTTTCTATTACATATTTTCTTAAAACAGATCACTTCCCAAGATTTTCTACAATATACCTCAGCTCTCACTGCATTTTCTAGAATTACTTTCAATATTTATAATGCATTAATTTTGTGTATAAATATAATAAATAATAAATAAGTACAAATGCATAAACCATATTTAAGAAAAATATTACTATAAATGGCTTTAGGGCTTTTTAGCTATTGCTACTGACAATCTTAGAAATAACAAAGTCTGTTTCTGGCTCTCTTTTTTTACTTCAAGGAATATTAGATAGGTATACCATTTACCACTAAAGGACAAATCATCTGTCCTTTTTAAAGGATCTACCTTGTGAAGGATTTCATCACTTATAACTAACTTTATCTACAAGAAAGAACTTGAGAACCTTCACTTCCCTTTGTTTTTGCTAAAGCTTTAAGAAAAATCTTTTTAATTCATTGCAGCTTGAGTAATGTTTCCATATAAGTTTTCGATAACACATTAGTCACATGCAATTCTAAAAAATATGCCTTTCTTTGACCTTTTTTGAACCAAATAATTGACTACCTATGAATAAATTTACTTATAGAAAGTCAGCGGGGCTTATGCCTAGAAATGGACAGTGAAGTGGACTAATAGACAACAGTAGCCGGCCACTCTGTAGCCTAGTGTCTCAAACACATTTTATAACTGGAGTACAATTCCCACCCTACCTTTCTTCTACTCAGAGAAGCTGGTTTACGTGAGTGCGGCATCAAGATTGGAGACTTACTAACAACCTTCAATATGTGGATGACACAACCTTGCTCGCTGAAAATGAGGAGGACTCACAGCATCTGCTGATGAAGATCAAGGACGGCAGCCTTCAGTCTGGGTTGAAACTCCGTGTAAACAAGACAAAAATCCTCACAACGGGACCGGTAGGTACCATCATAATAAACAGAAAAAAGACTGAGGGTGTCAAGGATTTTGTCTTCCTTGGATCCAAAATCAATGATCAGGGAAGCAGCAGTCAAGAAACCAAATGATGCATTCACTTGGTAAATCTGCTGCACAAGACCTCTTTAAAGTGTTGAAAAGCAAGCATGTTATTTTGGGGACTAGGGTGCACCTAACCCATGCCATATTTTCAATCACCTCATGTGCACATGAAAGTTGGAGACTACATGAGGAAAACTGAAAAAGACTCTATGCATTTGAATTATGGTGCTGGTGAAGAATACTGAAAGTACTATGGACTTTCAAAAAACAAGCAAATCTGTCTTGTCAGAAGTACAAACAGAATGCTCCTTAAAGGCCATAACGGCAAGA